ATAAATAATTCCTAATATATGATTCCAATTATGGTGGATGAAAAAATGTCTTAGTAATTTTAGTGACTACAAATATGTTCAATTTGTTTACCGTAATAACAATGAAAATATTAGTATATTAACTTTAGTCACATTTTTATTCATAAGTTTTATTTTGCAATACTTTTAGAAAACCTATATTATTTACTTATATATATGCATCTTAAACAAAAAATTAAGTTACTTATCTTCTTTGGATTTGAATTGTTGGTGATTTTAGAGACTAGTAGTTGTGTTATTACTTGCGGTTTGTATCTTTAATTAGTTTTATTTGAAAATAAGTTTTAAAATATAAAAGGAAAATGAGATGATTTCATGTCCGGGCTTTAACCGGCCCAACCCGAATCCGGACCGAACCCGGGCTTCAAAAAATCCGACTCGGACCAAATATCATGGGCTTTATTCTGGTCCCTAATTTTCATAACCCGAGACTTTACGAGTAATTTACGGGTTTAGCAAAAAACCGACCCAAACCGGACCGATCCCACCCCTACTCACAGTTGCTCGCTTTACTCACATTTTCGTTCATATATTTTTTCAGTAATATTTAAAACAAAAATCAACCTTGATGATGATGATAATAATTATCATCATCCAATAATGAAAGTTACATAAGATGTTAGTGCTTGCCTAGCTAAGTTTCATTCTTGTTTCAAGTTTTTGGTTTACATTAATTGATAACAAGAATAAAAAGGAGAATTAAAAGATTTAATTCTTATAAATTAATTTAATAAGAAAGTTTTTTTTCTCATTGTGATAAATTATAACTGCATGAGTATTGTGTAATATGAACCAGATAAAATCTTGCTTACAACTCAAAGCTTAAGAGTAATGTTAGACCAATTAAAACGTGTTAGTGGTGTCCAAATTATAAAGTAGTCAGTCTTTAAAATATACTTTGCTTGCAGATATGGTTATTAAACTTCTTTTTTTTTTCTAACTTGATCACTAAAGAATATGAAAAAAAAAAAGTTGTTACTGATTCGGAGAAAAATTGTCTAATGACCAGTTTTTTAGTGAAACTATATTCTGATTAAGTGATTAGATGATTACTGTCTTACTGATTTACTGGGACACATGCTCTCTTCAATTGGTCCAACATTGTAGACAATCCTTTTTCGGTGACAAGTAGGGGATCTGACTTCAAATAAGCAATTTAGAAATATTTACATAAAATAAATGTTGTTTACCAAAAATATCAATCCTAAATATAGTACTATAATATTAACTTAATTAGTTATAATATTTTATATTCAAGTTTTACACGGGTGACTACAAGACTATATTATGGTAGTAGTAATTATATTAGTCATACTTTTATAAATAAAATTCATTAAGTAATACGGAGTATCTTTTAAAAAACTCTTTAATTTATTGACCATTTGGGGAGAAACTTAATCTTATGATGAAAACCATGCAAGTAAAACTATAGCTTAGTCACCACTCACCACCAATTCAATTATCATCATATTCAACTATAAAAAGTTATAAATAATATTCAGACAATATAATGAAAAAGTGAATTTAAAGTTCTGAACGGATACTTGTAGTAGAGAAATGCTAGAGGTACACGTTTTTTGTACAAGTTTGACAGACAATTTGTCTGTGAAGGACAGACAATTGTACACCAAACGTGTACAAAAAACGTGTACCTCTAGCATTTTTCCTTGTAGTATTTTTCAAGAAGGAAATTCGAAGAATTCATAACTTTACGGAGTACAATATACTATCATCCGTATCGCATTAGTTGCAACATTGGAATTTATATATGTACTCTATTTTGACTACATTTTATTTATTATTGTGTGTGAGTTATGTTTTTTGAAAAATATTTTTGAATTTGCCTCATTACTAAGTTTCATAATCTGATTTTTAATTACTCGTACTTTTTACAAATACAGAATTAAATATAATAGTGTTCAAAGTTGTGTGTGGGCAAACGTCAAAAAGTGAACGTTGCAACTAAAAAACAGAAGAAGTATCATATATAGTTCAAATTAAATACTATACCGAAAGACAAACCAGAAACGGAAAAAGCCCAAGGGGGTGTTTGGCAATTGGCTGTTGGCCGTTGGCTGATTGTGTAAGCTGTTTTACAATAACTGTTTCTTTTGGCTGTTTTGATTAGCTTATAATATTAGCAGTTTGTTAAATGATGTTTGGTTAAAATGGTTGTTTACAATCAGCTGATAACTTGTGAAATGACCTTTAAGGACATCAATTAATTATTTTAATTGTACATTTATACACACACACACACACACACACACACAGGCCTGATCCTGTCCAGCCGGAGGGACAGGACCCGCCGTCCGGCTTTCGCCATTTGGGGCCCTTCCTAGTGGAATTTTTTGTTGAAATATTTTATCATGTTCTTCATGAAGTCTAGTTTATCCATACCAAATTTCAGCTAAAAATTCAATCGGGAAGGCAGTCAAATGATTTTTGGAAGTTAACTGTGCAGTTTATTTACATATAAAACGCAGTTATCTTCCAAAAACCATTTGAGTGCCTTCCCGGTTGAATTATTAGCTGAAATTTGGTATGGATAAACTAGACTTCATGAAGAACATGCTCAAAAACTTTCATCAAAATAATCCACCAGGAAGGGCCTCTGATGACCTTGGCCGGGCGGTCCCTCCCGTCCCTCCGGAGGAACCTGATCTTTTCTGTGTGTGTATATATATATACACACACACACATACACATATATATACATACATACACACACATATATTTATAAGACGCTTTTATATATGCACTTATCATACACTAATGATGTTATTGGTATCAATACTTAAATCAATTTTATGAATTCAAAAATAAAAACTTAAGAAGACAATTAATAATTCTTTTAAACAATTGTTCATGTATTAATAAATTTAAATGATAGCTTGACAAGAAAAGAGAGTTACTAAGTAAAAATACATTAAAAAAAGTTGTCTAGCAAAAGTAAAAAATGCATTTCAATATTAATGTCACCTTAATTAAAATACTAACAGTCACTTAATCGTAATGATAATATATCTTTAAAAAATCATACTATTCTCTAAGAATGTCTTTTCCTTGCCATCAAACTAGTTGCAATATTATCACGAATAACTATCATTTCACGGACTCTCATATGCTCAACGCCTTGTCCAGAAGTAGACTCAACGTCTCGAAAGATATCATCTGGTATGAAATCTAGATCTCGATCAATGATATTAAAACCTGGATCCCAATCGTGCTTTTCCGAATGTGGTTATGCAGTGCAAAACAAGAACAAATTATCTTATTCTGGTCACAAAATGAATATATGAGCATTTTTTGTAAAATTCTCCACCGCGCCTTAAGAACTCCGAAAGCCCTCTCAATGCAACTTCTTAGAGATGAATGCGCTCGATTAAACACTTCTCGAGATACCCTTGGATTTGCAGCACGAAATTCTGTTTGATGATATCTTGTCTTGAAGTAAGGTGTGAGATACCCTTGTCTTTCTGGGAAACCTTTATCAACTAAATAATATTTACCTATATGTACATAAAAATAATACTTCATCCGTTCTTTTTTAATTGCAACGGTCCACTTTTCACGTTTGCCAACGCACAAGTTTGACCATTAATATATTTCATTCCGTATTATTAAAAAATTTTAAAAAATTAGATTATGAAAATTTAAAGTGAGAGTAATTTAACGATGTTTTTTTAAATTTTAATTTGTAATACATTAATAAATAAAATATAGTCAAAGTAGAATATGTGAATAGTGTTAAAAGTCCAACGTTGCATTTAAAACAGAACGGAGGTAGTATGTTACAATATTTATTTGCCATGCACTTAGTATAAATAAAATCAACTACCTGGTGGTGGTTTCGGAAAATTTAGACTTGTATTATTGATTGCATCGAGGAAAATGCGAGCATCGTGTGTTGTCCCCTCCCATACAGTCAAAACATATGTGAATAATAAATTAAAATCACATGCTACCAAGACATTTGTGGTTGGTATCCCTTTCCTCCCTCTATAACGCATTTGATCTTCCTCTCTAACTGTTATTGCAATATGGGTTCCATCAATTGCTCCAATGCAATCCTAATATTAAAATACCACTAAAAATATTATAGCAGTTATTTAATGAACTAAATGGAATAACCAAAGTATCAAGTTACCTTAAAATGTGGCATATATCTAGTATCATTGACAATTTGTGCTGGAACCTCTTTGAACTCAGGGTCTTTAGGTTTAAGCATGTCCCTTGAAAATGCTACAATGACATTCAATACCTCTTTGAAAATTCTACTCACAGTTTCACCCGAATGTTGAAAACGTTCTTGAGTATCTCGATTAGAAGAACCCTTACTCAGAACATACACAAACAAGCCAAGTTTCTCCAAAGTTGACATCCTACTTGAAGCGACTAATCCATACTTTGTTTCCAAATCTGCACATAATTGATGAAACGTACTTGGATTCATTCTGAATGCATTAAAACACCATTTTTCATGACCATACAATAGTTCATCCATCCATCGTTGGCTGGTTAAGTAAGATGTCATACAACGCTCTTTGTATATGTGATTCATAAAGTACACATACAAATAGCTGGTTGTACAAGCTACCAAATCCCAAAATTCATCATCGTCATCCAAATACTCTTTAATTAGGATAAGTTTCCGAATGATTATATAGGTATCATCCATGCCTACAAAAATACAAGTACTAATACTGTAAGCCAATAATAATTAAAAAATATTGTTACACTGAATTTTAATAACATAGCAGAATCATAATGTCAATGCATTAAATCAAAACATTACAATCATATATAATAAACTAATACAGTTGTTGAAATATTGAAATCCATAACATATAAGCTCATAAAGAAGTTTCTAGATTAATAAAGTTTCGAAAATATGACAATCCATAACATAAGTTCATAATTGAGTTTAAAAGAGATAAAAATTGTAATGCTAACATAGTGATGTCTTTTTAATTCTTCTTCAGCTCAACATATACAAACTTGATGTACTCAACTCTCATCTGGTCATTTGGTAACCTAGGAGAATGCATCTTTTTTGTGGATCCTCAATCATCGTGCAAGCAAAATAAAATTCAGGTGTGCTTGGATCTAAATCCGGCAAAGCACATAACTTTGCTAGTGCTTCAATAATTTCTCCATGCTTTGGTGTGACCATTGAGTCCATGACGTTCATCATTGACATATGCACTCCCTTAGATGTATTGTTCCTTCCTCCAATGAGTTGCATCATGTTATCAAGTTTGTCACCCAATGATTTAGTTTTACCTGCTCTCTTTGTGGTTTCAACCCGTGCACTCTTATTAGATTGTGGTGCATCACTCACTGCAACTCTCTTATTGCTCCTTCTTTCATCGGTTTCCATTTGTGTACCAATAGGAGAGAAAGGAGGGGGGCTATCGTCTCTCCATACATCATCCCATGCTTCACGAGTATTAGAACTACTACCACCATATGAAGCATCTATGTCGTCAAGCTGATTGTGTGGAGTACCACTACGAGGTGATGAAGGAACATACACATTATCATCTTCAATTTGCATATCCTCTTCTGTGAGATCACACACCGGAGTGTATTTTAATGCACCTTGGGCATAAAAACCAAACATTTGATCCATCTTAGATTCAAGTTCAGGTTCAATCCCTTCTTCGTGAAATGGCTTTAATGCGGAATTCTCCGATACAAAATTAAAGCTTAAAATAACTTCTAAGTACTTAAAATTAAAACATGTACTAAAACAAATTAAACAACAAAAAAAACTAACCTTAATCTTGAAATTCCACCACTCATCAGAGGCATCAATGGTTCCTTTTACAGGATCCCACCCCAATCCCGTCTCCTTTCTTTTCATTAGTTTCCAAAGACCCCACCTATGTCTCATCCAATCCACCCTATGCTTACGTTTATCTTTATCCCAATGAAGGTTTGTATGTTTGACAAATTCAGCTTGTACTTTCTTCCATGCCAACCTTTGACCAGTTACTCCACCATTTTTTCCCTTATTCCTTTCAACCATTTGCATGCAGAGGTCATAGAGGAGGTGTACTAACTCTTTTTTCCAACTAACTCTACCTATAGTTGCACTTTGTTGACTTTCGGCGTTTTTATTTCGACTTCCTTGACTATTATTTAGAAATTTTTTTCGGGCGAGATCCATCTAAATAACATAGAACTAAATTAATAATTTATGAAATATTTATAGAAAATAAGCAAGAAACTAATATCACTATTTACTACGTAGTACATTATACTACGTAGTATGTGTTACCAAACTAATTTAATAACATTCCTTGCTTTAATAATTATTTTACTTTAGTAAAACTTTAACCACATTTAGTAATATCCCGAGTATTACTCTTATTTTAGCCGAGGTTTAAAAAAAATACTAATATGCATTAGCTATATCACTATATCATTACTCACAGTCTTAGTTCACTATTTCTCCCAAGAACCATATCCTAATAGTCTTTTTTTAAAGAACCATATCTTAACCTTTTATGACGTTTACACTTATTTGAGCTACAATTTGCATTATACTTCCTAATATAACTATAAAAGTGATCTCAAGCTTTTCTCATACCCTGTTCATTGATTAATTCCTTTCACAGATCAATTGCATATACGAAGTAGTATATAATTATCTACCAGCTATGTACTACTATATTATTATACATTCTAAAACAACAATAACAGCTGCACCATTTGCACTTATTTTAGGACCAAAATAGCATGGTGCTCCTAAGTAGTTGTCAAAATAACCGATGTGCGCAGGGAGAAGCTAGAAATCCTAGAATACTGTTTTTTCATGTAAAAAATATAATAAAGCAGCAAAATAGAAAAGGACACCACACTTTCAAAGGAGAGGCAATCCGTTTGATGATAAACTGGTATTCTAGCATCACAATTCATGCTAGTCTTATGCATGAATAGTTGATTAAACAACATGACATAACATTACATTCAAAGGGGCAAAGAGGCAGTCCTTCTAAAGTAGGCTTTTCGGGTTTGACAGATAGTTTTATCAGCAAGCTATTTACATTCCAGTTTTAATAAAATGTTATATAGACAAATTTAAAATGTTATAAAACATTAGTCATATTTCAGTATCCTTTACCTTCCGTGAGGTCAAACCAAACTCAACTAACTTTCCATGAGGTCTAACTTTCCGTGGAGCTATTATCCATGATCAAAACATACCCTAAGAAAACAAGCTCCACTTTCTTAAAGATTCATTAAATAAGAGCAACTAATAACAAACTTTTACACAACAAATTTCAGAAATTAAGTCTCCACTAAATATGCACTCAATATAAACATACTGGAGCATATATTGTTAATTTATCATCCATAAGCTTTTTAATACTCTGTAATTATTATCTAAACCCGTAATACACAAAAAAGTGAAGATTTTTAAACTTAATATCAGGCTCAAATCTCATGTTTTCAGAAAGTTTACGGGCATTTAGGGGGTGTTCAAGAACAGGGCTTTGTATCTAACAAGAAATCAAAATTAAAAGTATCTTTTCAGAGCTCTGTATCAACAAGAAAGTTTACGACCCATATATAAACAACTGAAATTACTAATCAGTTTGGAAAAAGAATTACAGAACAATAAATTAAAATTGTCTTCTCAAAGCTCTGTATCATCTTCAATTCTTCATTCTTTATGCGTGTGTTATGTATAAACACTTTACAGAAGTTCAAGAGACGGCTGCGAGTGAAACCTACAGAGTATGTTCTCAGATTTGAAAGAGATTGGACATACCTTGGAGGAAGGGAAATCGCAGCTCTCAGAGGAGTGAAGCCTGCAAGTACGTCTGTGCGAGTAAGATCAGAAGCCGCGAGAAAGAAACGGAACAAGGGTATGAAATCGAAACGCCGATACCTAAGCGTTTTTTATTTTGACTGTTTGGGACAAAAGGCCAACTTAAAAAGCTATTTTACCAAACACACATATTAGCTGATTGATCAAATCAAAAGGCCAATATTGGTCAAATCAGTCAAAAAATGGCTGATAGGCCATTAACCAAACACCCCCAAATAATAAAATACTGAAAGGAAGAAATTAAACAATGTCACCAAGTAATTTTTTAATCCTTCGTTAGTCAATCAATAAAAGCTTTTACTTGTACATTTGGCATTACAAATTTTAAAAGTTTTTATAAAAATAAAAATCTTTTCTGAGATGTTACATGAAGTAGCACATAAAAAAAGTCTGTAACTTTTAGCATTAAATAGTTTCAACTTTCAACAACTTGAATATCAGACATGATTAAATAAAATAACCAGTTTTTTACCAAACAGCTATCACCATTTCTTTTTAAAGTTTTCAGTCACTAAAAGCTAACTGTTACTAAAAATATTATACAAGTATCTGTTTAGCTAATTGTGCCAAATAAACCCTTTATGTTTTCTGATTTTCAAGAATGTCTTAAATGAGTTGTTTTGTTGATTCAAATTGAGTTGTTGTTTTTAAATAAATGCTTTAGAACTCAATATGACTTTATTGACACTTTTAGGCAATAAATAAAATGTTCCCTAATTGCAGCATGAAATTACGATATATAATTGTGCGATCTTAATTTTAAAGATTAGATATATTTAAAAAAGTTTTGATTATAAAAACCTCCATTTATCCTATATTCAAATTATTTTTATTTTTACATATGTAATATTGGTGTCAAATGAAACATAATAAAAAATCATGAATTTTAATAATTCTTTTTATTAAAATGAATTACAAATGAAAAAAATACTAAAATGTACTTCAACGGTTAGCTATAACTTCTACATCTTTTATTTATTATTATTATTAATTTTATACTCCGTATTTAGTAATTCTCTTTGCTCAAGCAAGTAGCTCATCGTGTAATAAAAAGATAACTTCTACATCTTGTATTTTTACACGATGGCAGCGAACATTTAGGGTAAAAATATATTTGAAATTTCTTTTTACCATTTCACCCTAATATTTTCTCTTAGTGTAACCATGATTTAAAGGCAATGTGTTATGTGTGTGACTAGCCCTGATGTCCTTATGATAACCTCCAACTTGATACTCCCTCCGTCCCAATTTACTTAGCCAAACTTGTTTTTTTAAGTCAATGGTACCTAACTTTGACTGATTATATATCTATATAGAAAAAAATATTAATAATATAAAAATTATATGAAAATGTTCTTTGTTGAAAATACTACTCCCTCCGTCCTGTAAAATTGTTCCCGGTTTCCTTTTTGGGCCGTCCCAAAAAATTGTTCCACTTTCCCCTTTTGGAAAGTTTTTTGTGGCTACAATTCATTTACCTTTTTCTTACACAACCACAACCATACATTTCCACTTTATTATCACTTTCTTAAACTCCGTTCCAAGTCAATGCGGGAACAATTTTCCGGGACGGAGGGAGTATTATAAAAGTATAAAATTATTAATTTTTTCATAAATATATTAGTTAAAATAATTGGTCAAAGTGTACCACCTTTGACCGGAAAAGTCAAGATTGGCTAACTAAATTGGGACGGAGGTAGTAGAATATTGTGTTAACCTAAAAAATGTCAAAGCCTACAAAAAAATAATATTCCCTCTGTTCCCCAATTAAGTTCCTGGTTTGACTTCACACATATTAAGAAAAATTTTTACTTTTTTGTAGAGTGCACTGTTTTGCACTGTTTAAACACTGTTTGACATTGTTTTGCACTCTTTTGATGTAGATAATTTGCCAAATAAGGATAGTATTGAAGTGTGAACTTAATTTAGGGACTATCCAAACAGGAAAGTGAAACCTTAATCGGGGGACTTAAGGAGTAATTCTATATATGCAGCATAACAAAGATGTCAAAGAGTAAAGCTATAACTAAAGGATAAAAATGCAAATTTCGTACTTTAAGGACCTTTTATTTTAGGTAGATTCTATGGTACCCCAAATGTATCATACCTTTGTCCAAATGGATCAATAAGAATGATGCAGTTGAATTATTTAAATCTAAATTAAAACGCATATAATGATTTGGACTAATCAAATGAATGGTAGGTACGGTACCTCATTTTTTAAATGGGTACTAGAGTTGTTACCTTTATTTTATTACTGCGTATGACTCCGTACTTCGTATTTAGCAAAACATATTGGACCGAGGGCAGCAACCCCAATAAATCTTCTCGGTCGGGCTTGTCCTATAAAAGGGCACGTTAGGTAGGGTTTTGAAGTACGCAGCTATAGATTACAAGATAGTTCACTTTCTCTCTTGTATATACATACATATCCAATAAACCTAAATCACAGAAAAGGCTTCAATTCTAAAGCTGCCTCTTCGCAGCCCTCCTTCTCCGGGAGGCCGGCAAGGGCCATTTTTAGGGTTTGTTTCTGTATATCAGTAAAACCTGCAGATCCATGAAATATTGACCAGTTCAGTTGACGGCGGCGGAGATATAAAAGTTGAGGGGAATGTTGGCTGGCTCGATGCGCGGTTACTCATCATTTACATCACTTCACTATTCATCACATCTCTTTTCTTTTTGCAAAGTTTTGCTATAATGGTATAGATATATCTATACACATTATGTATATCTATATGGATTGGTGATGATGAATGACGATGATGATGATGATGGAGTGATGGCATCGGACCAGGCTTCATTCCTCTCAATCTATATATCTATCTTTCTATTCAAGCGACACACGAGTGTCGGCCGGCGGCCGGCAGCCGGCAGCCGGCAGCCGGCAGATTCTTGATTTTCCGTTCACCGTTTTTCAAGCATTCTGATTCTTGATCCGTTTTTTCAAGCTTATTGTTAATTTATTACTACGTAGCTCTTAATTTATTTTGATCGTTCTCGACAACCCAATTCTCAAAAATCATTTTTTTAAATTTTTTGTTAGGGTTTCTTGCTATTTACGGAGTAGTACATATACGGAGTATATCTTTTCAAGGCATGTTTGGAGAAGCAATGTTTTTATACATCTTGTTCTGAACTACACTTCTTTCTTTCAGGTGGGGGCCTGAAGGGACTACCTAAATTATTTAGGCTGAAAGAATTTGAAAAACATAAAGAATCTCCTTCATAAATTTTGTGGGACATAGATTGGACACAGATATCATAGTTACCATCCTTTTAGCTGTAGGTGCAGGTAGGTAAGCTGTTGTGGGAGATGGAGTAAATCTATCAGAAGATGACTTAAAGAAGATGGATGTTGAAGGACTTTAAATTCTGTGCAAGATCAGTTCAGGCCAGTTTGGTGTAATTCAGTAGCCTCTAGGGTAACCCTGCTAACTAGCTAGGCACTCTAGCTTATAAGTTCTACTAGCTCTTCCGTAGATCCCTAGCTATGCGAATTTTTAATGTGTTTGTTTTGAAAAATCAAAACCAGTAGTTTGTTACCGTATGACTTATGAAGCAATTACAAAAAAAAAGATAGGGATATTTTAACTCCCTTATTGCATGGCAGACATAAGTTTTTACCTTCTAACTTTAGTACTTTTTAAAAAGTTTCTAAAAACTTATAGTTTATGTTTGACATGACAATTTTTAAGAGTTTTTAGAAAATTAAAAGCTCATGACTTTTATAGTCAACTTTTTACAGAACTAAATCAAATAGTCAACCTTTTATAGGCCTAATAGCTTGTATATCAAACAAAACTAAATCAAATAGTCAACCTTTTACAAACAGCTACCATATTTTCTATTTAAGATCTTTTCAGTTATTAAAAGCTAACAATTAATAAAAACACTCATAAAAGTATCTTTTCAGTTAATTGTGTCAAACATACCTTTAGACTAAATCAAACCAGATCGGACTAGATTAGACTACAATTGAACCATGTATGAATTACATACAAATAAACTAAACATTAAGAGTCCAATTCAGAGAGAATAGACAGTAAAATTTCAGTACAATTAAAAAAATTCATATCTTATTTTATTTTTTAAAGTTTTGATTTTTTAGTTATTGAGTTTGATTGTTATCTTATTAGGGTGTACTTTGATGTACTACGTATATAATTTGACCAAATCTTTTGCGCTTCATGACAAAAAAAATCTATTTTAAATTTAAAGTGATCAGAATATTGATGAGGGAGGAGCTAGGCTATGGTAGCTTAGGCTTTTAAAGGTAAAAGATGGACATCCATTCTATATGGGAGACGAAAAGCATGAAAAATTAAGAAGAGGGTTGAATTCAAGATTGCTGTTTGACGAGGAAGTATAGACAGACAGAAATGTTGACCTAGCTAGTCCAGGCCGGCTAGCCAGCTTTGATTCAGACGGAGTACTTTGTTTTTGCTTAATTGCTGCCTCGTTACTCGTTACATTTACAATTTACAAATCATATCCGTGGGCAAATAAAGAGATAATAATAATACCGATCATCATCATCATTATAATTATAAGTACTCGTACTATCACAAAAATGCTAATAATTGTGTTATGGTACTTTTAAAAAACTGAATCAAAATATCAAACTTTGGTAAAATGTTTAATTGAGTCAATGTAACGAGTAACGAGACAGGTCATTCGTTGATGTGGCACACATGTGGTAATTCGATCTATCTATTAGTGATGAGTCTTTAACACACTCATATCTCCCACAAAGTCATCAAAGTTGTTGTGCTGGTGATTGGGCTGCCACTTGTGTGCCATGTTATCAAGTGACTTGCTGACATGACAAGTAATCCGTTAATGAGCTCAATTAAACGTTGTTTAAAAGTTCGGAGATATGAGTGATTTTTTTTAAGTATGTTGATTTAATTGAAGTTTCGTGATAGTATAAAGACCAAATTAATAATTTTCCTTATAAGTATTATTGTTGTTATGGTTGTGAATGTTAGAAGTTCATATATGTTTGATTAAATGTTTCATTTTGAGTAGTGTGAAAATGCTCTTTAAAATATATTCAGTAGACTTCAATTTTTCTGGTTTGGTACAATCTATTAAGGTATATTCTTGTTTTATGGACTGTCACTATCTAATTCGATCTGATAAACATTTGATATTGGATTTATTTAATTTATTGTCTGTATTTGATGTAATGTAACTCTAAAAAAATCGATGTAATGTAATACTCCGTATGTGCATATGTTGGTTTAATCATTTTCAATTTGGTTTAGTTTGATCAAAGAGCTAAGTAGCTTAATTACTAGGCTCGTTGAGTATATCATATTCGATCTATAGATGTTAAATTTGTGAAATTCATTGACAACATTTCATAGGAAATTGGATAAGTAGATACGATTAACCATTTTAGTGATGATAGGTTGATACGATTAAACAAAATTTAGTTTGTCGATGTATACGGTATTGTCTGAATATGACCTGATACAGTTTTTAAAAGAAATTCTAAACCTGGGTTTTAGGCTTTTAGCTAAAATCAGAGACGATTATTATTTAATACAATAATAAGGTATGATACGTTTTCTTAAATTAGGAAATGTTTGGAGATTTCAACCATTAAAGTTTTTCTATAATTGCAAACTTTGTTTCTTTTTGTCCATCCAAGGGTAAGGGTAAGATAGACACGTGCAAGGAACCGATAAATCCAAATGCAGAATTTGAGAGAGAATATTTCACAAATGTCGGAATTTTTAATTACTTTCAATTCTAGGCGGGTTTAATGCACCAAACCCCTGTGATTTGGAAATTCGGCGCATTAGCCCCCTGTGATTTAAAAAATGCGTCAAACTCCCTTGTGTTTTAATTAATCATGCACAGAACCCCCTTTATGAATAAATTTAACGATTTGAAAATCACTTTTCCTAATATTTTGATTGAATATGCAAATAAATATGTCAAAATCTCTGAATCATACAAAAATGTTAATCATTTTTCTTTTATTTGACAATTGAATTTGTTCACATAAGGGATTTGGCGCATGATTAATTAAAACACAGGGGGGGTTTGACGCATTTTTTAAATCACAGGGGGCTAATGTGCCGAATTTCCAAATCACAGGGGGGTTTGGTGCATTAAACCCAATTCTAGGCATTGCATTTGAATTCAATTGCCATTTCATACTTTATGACTAATATAATTAAGCCGATTACTTAAGTTCTAATAATACCATGACTTTTTGTTTGCTTTATATTTTTTAATTGGAATTCTTTATCTTTGATACGTGCTATCCAAAAGTATTTGTAGAGTCCCTTCATTTTGATGTTAATTTTCTTTAAGAGTTGTTATGGTTGTTACTAATCTATTTATTAATCCCCTTAGAATTTACATTTCGCAGCGGAGAATGTAAATCATAAAAATTGTTATGTTTAAGTATTACTGATTAGTGATACTACTTAAGGATATTTATGACCAGGTCATTAGGCTTTCACCGGTTTGCTTATTAGATTTGTATGAACATGTAGTTTAGTTTGATAGGTGTGAGTTTGTATCAATTGATTTATGTTTTATACATCCTCCCCTCTCGGATCATAGTTTTTGTAGAAAAACACACACACAAGTCAAATGATTAGTTCAATAGCTTTTGTGAAAATGAAGAAGTCACGTGTTGTATATCTTAAATTTCTATGTTAGTTACTACAATCTACTATGTATGTTTCAATCTACAGGCATAATTTAATTGGTATATTGGCAGTTGAAATTTTGCACATTTTTTGCCTTGAAATGATTCATTAATTAGGATCTTGGATGAATTGTTCTCATCTTATGAGTGTATATTTTGCTCTGCAGGCTGTAGCGTCTTTTTATATTTGGAACTAATGTAGTGCTATGTGGGACTCAATAGCTTCATGATTTCAGGGCAATATACAAGAAAGTGACCTAACAATATTACAATTGAATTATTGAAACAATAATTATAAATAAAAAGAGATTTCATTACATATCTAAGACTAGCATAAACGTGGCACTTAGTTACTCTCTTTCAATTGAAATTTATGAATTATCTTGTAGGGATAATTGACATTAAGAATATAATCTTCCTAAGATTTGATTATCTTGAAATTTTCTTTACATTTCTTTCAAATTCAAGGTGGCACACATCGTTACCTTGAAATTTTCTTTACATTTCTATGTTTGGTTAAGTTTATGTAATATGAATTCAAGTACTACGAAGTACGAACGTAATAACTTTTTTTTTTCGGAAACAAACGTAATGACTTTGGAGGTTTGGTTAAGAGCTTTGAGGCATTTTTATGTGATTTGACTATTATTTGACCTTTTGACCAGATAAAAAGCTAACAGGTGTGTTTAGCTAATTGACATTTTCACTTACTTTTTATTTCAAATAGTCAAAACAAAAAAACTAATAAACCTATTGTTTAGGGGGCAAAATGGAAACTAATAATCCAACCTTTTAGCGGTCTTCTTATAATAGTCCTACCTTTTGATTATTCATGAATAATCCAACATTTGCACCTCATCTTCATTCACTGGTCCCTGACCGGTTTTTTAGGGGTTGGCGTTTAGTTTTTACGCCAATCTTTTCATATATAAAGATAAAATTCTTCTTCCAAAAAGAAAAAGAAAAGATAAGTTCTCAAAACAGATGATTTGAGAAGCACTTATTTAAAGAAATTAATTATTTAATTAATTAAAGAGGCATTAATGACATTTCAACGTTCCAAAGCTTTCAAGGCTCACCCTGAAACCCCCTCCGATCCTGGACCTGGAGTTGTCATCCCAGTTCTCTCTTTTCCTCAAACACAATCTGTAAATCTTCTCCCACCCACAAAACATCTTCGTCTCACTTATGGGACAACAATCTCAAAATTCGGCAAAACCATCACATTCATACAAACTGTTTGGTATCATCTCTAAAGTCACCTCCCTTGCAGAAATCTACAAGGCATTCTCAAGAAAATTGCACCCGGCCGATAGAACCAACAAACAGAGAACATCTCACCGCCATCAATCCAATTTCGTTTCCATTCATGACTCGTACCCGGTAATGTTTATGTTACAGAAACATTAATCCCACCATTTCCATGCATTCATTTGACAAAATTAATGTTCTTTCTCATGAATTCCTCAGAGTATTGTTAGAAGTCAACGACAGAGAGATGGAGAAACCACCCCAGGCCGGGACAAGAAAACACGTGAGGAAAAGGATAAAGAAGAAGAATTTGTGATTTCAAGCCCAAAGCTATTGTCTAGGACGACAAGCCGGGTCGCCCCGACATTGTCGAAAAGCTCCAGCGCAGGACGGCCTAATCCTATAGATTTGTATGCACATATGCAGAGATCAGCCTCTGTTTCTAGCACCACCAGCCCCACGGCTTTTCTTTCGAAAACGTTGAGCCAAAGAAATATAAATATGGCCGCGGCATGGAGAAAGCCACCACCTTTGGAGAAGAAGCTTGAATGCACCCTTGAGGAGCTTTGCTTTGGATGTACCAAAGAGGTCAGAATCACAAGGGAAATCGACTCAAATGCAGGGTACATCCATATACACAATCTCGAAGTCAACCTAATAGGAGCAGTACAAAGTTTTATAGATAATTTCTTTTTTATATCTAAAAGTTTGTGCCCGTAATCGAGACTTATCAGAATATAATTGCTCGAGGTTTATTTTCTCTAATATCATATTAAGATAATACGAGTAATCGAGAATTTTTTACATTTTGATACTGACTGGGGTGGGATGATGTCTTTTGACCCCTTTTGGTCACTTGTTTTGGAAGTTATCTCTCAAAATGAGAGGGCTCCTTAATCTACCAAGTAGGAGCCCACCTTGTTAACTTAAGTCACCATGATTAACCTATTCCAAACATTCTGTTGGGCTCGAGTGGTACGACTCATTCGATGGGGTGTGACACCTTTTCGAAGAACCAATACCTATGGCTAAATAGTATAAGTGTGATCCTGAACTGTTTCTATGTGAGTAGAATTGAATTTTCGCTCTCTTTAAGACTAAATTGTATAGAATGCTCATATATATTCCATATTCTAAAAGGAAAGTTTTATAGGAGTAATACGAGTTCATATAATGTGACTATGTATATGGATTTAACAGTTTTGTGTGGCAGGCTAATTTTTCAAGAAGAGGAATATGTGACAATCAAGGTGAAGCCGGGGTGGAGAAGAGGAACGAAGATTACATTCGAAAGCAAGGGCGACGAGAGAGGAGGAACCCTCCCAGAAGACATTATCTTTCTGATCGAGGAGAAGAAGCACCCGTTGTTCAAGAGAGAAGGAGATGATTTGGAGTTAGGGGTTGAAGTCCCTTTAGTCCAAGCTCTCACAGGATGTATTGTACAGGTACCCACATTAGGAGGAAAGGATGTGGTGACTTTAAACATGGAAGATGAGATCATCTATCCCGGGTTTGAGAAAACTATCCCTGGACAAGGCATGCCTAAATACAAGGATGGTCAAAAAGGTGATCATCAGAGAGGAGACCTTCGGGTCAGATTTCGAGTTGTTTTTCCAGAAATGTTGAGTGAAGAGCAAAGGTCACAAATTTTCAGTATACTGAAAGATGTGTAAGTTTCAAAGTTTTGTTACCTTGGTATAAATCTGCCTGGGATCAAAATTCATATGCACATTAAGCATGTTTTTCTAGTTTTGCTTGGAACTTGACATAACATCTCAGTCCCTGGTTTGGAAAACAAAACTAGACAGATAAACAAAGATAAAAAACTGAACAAGTTACAAATATGTAAGATTCAGAAGAGGACTAGTATAAAAACTAAAGTAAAACTGTTACGGAATCACAATTCTGCAACCTATTGAATAAAAACGCACACGACTTATTATTATTTTTTGTAGATAAATGAATATAATGAGGGGTATCAATTATGCGTATGGAGACTATTAAAAACTCAAGGTAAACAAATATAAAGAAGAAGATGAAATGGAGTGGAATATGAAATCTGTATATTGAGTAATGAGTAATAAAAACTGGATACTCTACGATGCCTTAGAGGCCTTCTATTTATAGCCAAAACAAAGACTAGTAAGTACACAAAGATAATAAAGTTACATTCAGCTTGCTATCTTATCTCTTAAATAATTGGATAGCAAGTTGTCTATTATTTTGTCTGGTAGTTGACAGTTTGCAGACCATTGAATTTAATCAACTTTTGATACTCCCCCTCAAGATGGAATTGTAGATGTTCTTCATTCCAATCTTGTCCGTTATTCTCTCTAGATCTTCTCCGGAGATTGCCTTTGTGAATATATCTGCTAACTGCATTTTTGATGGAATGTACCTCACATTAATTATTCCTTGTGCTACCTTTTCTCTGATGAAATGGCAGTCAACTTCAATGTGTTTTGTTCTCTCATGGAGAACAGGGTTCTTTGTGAGATATATTGCTGATTGGTTATCACAAAATAGATCTATTGGTTTTTGAATTTCGATCTGAAAATCTTTGAGTAGTGATTTCAACCATGTGATCTCACAACTGGTATAAGCCATTGACCTATACTCTGCTTCTGTTGATGATCTGCTCACTGTCTGTTGTTTCTTTGACTTCCAACTGACAAGTGAATCTCCTATCAGGATACAATACCCAGTTACCGATTTCCTGGTGTATGGACACCCAGCATAGTCTGAGTCACAATAAGCTTTCATCTCCATATTTTCGTCTGAGCTATAGAACAAGCCATGTCCTATATTATTTTTCATATACCTGACAATTCTTAGTAGTGCCTTCATATGAGTCCTTGTGGGTTTTTCCATGAATTGACTCATTATTCCAACTGCATACGAAATGTCAAGTCTTGTAATAGTTAAGTATATCAATTTTCCAATCACTTTTCTATAAAGTGTAGGATTTTTTAGGAGCTCCTCTTGAGTTCCTTCTTCAAATTGTTTGAATTTATGATTCTGAATTATTGGATTTATAGCAGGTTTACAACCTAATAATTCAGTCTGTTCAAGTATCTCCGATGCATACTTCCTTTGCGAAATATGTATACCTTTGGAGTTTCTTGCTATTTCTAGACCAAGAAAGTATTTTAACTTTCCTAGATCTCGAATTTTGAACTTATCTTGAAGTTCTTTCTTCACAGAGTCGATTTTTACTTGATCATCTCCGGCTATGATAATGTCATCGACATATACTAATAGAAAAATGACTTTTCCATTTTCTTTTCTGATAAAGAGTGAATATTCACTTTTGGATTGTCTGAAACCTATGGTTTTTAGAAAATGAGTGAACATTTCGTTCCATTGCCTACTGGCCTGTTTTAGACCATATAGGGACTTTTTGAGTTTGCATGCATATCTGGTGTTGTTCTCCCCCTGAATTGAAAGGCCTGGAGGTAAAGACATATATATGTCCTCTTCAAGATCACCATTTAAAAATGCATTATGGACATCAAGTTGTTCCAAATGCCAATTGTGCTTTGCAGCTAAAGCTAATAACACTTTAACAGAAGTTAATTTTGCAACTGGGCTGAATGTCTCAGTATAATCTATGCCAAATTGTTGAGTGAAGCCTTTAGCTACTAATCTAGCTTTGTATTTATCAATTTTCCCATCGGAGGTTAACTTGATTTTAAAGACATATCTACAACCTATTGGCTTTATGTCATCAGAAATAGGAACTATGTCCCATGTATTATTATCCTCTAGAGCTTTCAATTCTTCATTGATAGCCTTCTTCCATAGAGGATCTAAAATAGCTTGTTGATATGATTCTGGCTCATTTAGAGTCGATAAAGTGACTGAATAACATTTTTGTTGTTCAGATAGTTTGTCATATCCCAAAAAATGAGATAAAGGATACACAGTTTTAAAACTATTGCGATAAATCGAGTTAGATCTTGGCACTTTATAATGATGAAAATGTTTCAAATGAGAGGGTGTCTTGGCCTCTCTTTGTGATCTCCTTAACTGAATATCACCAATTGTAATTCCTTCAGAATCACTTTCATAACTGGAGGGTATTTTGACCTCTTCTTGTGATCCTTGTGATTGAATATCAATATTTGTGGTTCCTTCGGAATTACTTATATAATTGGAGGGTATTTTGACCTCTTCTTGTGATCTTAATTGAGTATTACTTGATGTGGTTCCTTCAGAATCACTTATATAATGAGATGAATCTTCATTCTCATTTTGTCTAGAACCATGAGGTTCTTCTTGAGATACATTCATGTCTTTTTCTTGAAATGTTTCTGAACCTATAGGCTCTATTTCTTCATCAAACTCTTGAAAAGAATCTTGTGAATCCGAGCCATTGCTCATATTTGGAGTCATCAAAAGACTTGTTGTGATATTAGGTAATGAACCTGGTGAGTAAACTACTTGTTTACTTATTTCTTGTTCTTTGTCAAAAGGAAAAACATTTTCTGCAAATATTACATCTCTTGAGATGAAAAATGTTTTTGTTTTAAGGTCATAGCACTTATAACCCTTGATATGTGCTGGATAACCAACAAAAACACTTTTTCTTGACCTTGAGTCAAATTTCTTTCTTTGAACTGGCAAACTGGATGCAAAACACAAACATCCAAAAACCTTTATGTCTTTATATTCTGGTTTTTTACCATATATCATTTCAAAAGGAGATTTTCCATTTAACCTTGGAGTAGGTATCCTATTAATTAAGTATGCTGCTGTCAAAACAGCTTCACCCCAAAAATGTTTGGGTAAATTTGATTGAAACATCAATGCTCTTGCTACATTAAGTAGGTGTTGATGTTTTCTTTCAACCACTGAATTTTGTTGAGGTGTATAAGGACAAGATCTTTGATGTATGATTCCTTTATCATTGCAAAAATCATCAATATTGAACTCTTGACCATTATCTGTCCTTACCTTTTGAACATTTACTTTAAATTGCTTTTCCACCATTTTGATAAAGTTTTTCATTGTTACCTGTGTATCTGATTTATGCTTAAGCAAATAAATCCATGTTGCCCTACTGAAATCATCTACTATGGTTAAAAAATAACTCTGTCCATTTGTGGTTTCAACTGAAAAGGGACCCCAAAGATCACAATGTATTAATTCAAAAGGAGAACTGGAAGTACAAGATAAATTGAAAACAGAAGTATTTTTATTAGAAGAACAACTGGAAGTACTTTTAGATGAAAAACGAGATCTCTTTTGCTTGGACAATTGACAAACCGTGCAATAAGAGAATTTATTACAAGAAACAATTGGAGATCCAAGCTTAATTAAACAAAGTCTCTCATGAGATAAATGCCCTAGTCTATAGTGCCAAATATGACTAGAAACACTTGCTTCGTTAACTTGGTTGACTGAAAACACCTTTTGCTCAAAACATTTTTCTTCCCTTAAGTGGTATAACCCTTCCACTTGTTCATTCTGATTCCCAATCTTGCTCAAAGATTTCGTCAATGCTTTTGAGTTTTCCTGGAAAATTTGACAAGAATCTTTTGTAAAAATCACATTTAAGTTGTTATCTGCAGTGATTCGACTTACAGAAATTAAGTTAATGTTGAAACTAGGAACACAGAGAACATTTTTCAAAATAATATACTTGTTAACATAAATATCACCTGTATATGTCACAGGGATTTTGTTACCATTAGGTAACTTCACTGCACTGTTAATTTTCTTTATGTTATCAGTGAAAAAAGTTTGAGAAGACACAATATGATGTGTAGCTCCTGAATCAATTATCCAGGGCTTATATTTAAATTCATGAGAAAAAGTATCTGCACAGTTTGAAACTGGATCAACAGGTGTTGCTGCAATTGCCTTCGGTAAGCTTTCATTTTTGAATTGTTCTGCCATGGCTAGAAGAGATTGTAATTGGTCAGATGAGATGGTTACTTGACCATTTGAAGCATTTATGTTTCTTTTATAACTTCCAGTAGATTGTTCTCCCATCACCATTGCAGATGAACTCTCATGCATTCTTTCATGTGTGTATTTATCATCACCAAATCTGCCTCTGCCTCTTCCGGCTCTTCCACCTCTACCACCTCTTCCTCCTTGCTCATGATTGTTTTTCTTGTTACCACCAGGCGGGTAGCCATAGATTTTAAAGCAATTTTCCACATTGTGGTTTGTCATATGACAATTTTTGCAGAACATTTTCCTTTTATAAACAACAGCAAGGGCTGAAGCTTCAGAATAAGATGAAGTAAAACTTCTAGCTTGTTTCTGCTTTTCTTCTTGTAAAACAAGATGATATGTTTTGTCAAGACTAGGAAGAGGATCTTGAGATATGATTTTTCCTCTAATAAAATCATTCGAGTCATTTAAGCTCATAAGAAATTTGAAAATTTTTCTTTTCTACTGAATTTTCAAGAACTCATCATGGAGTTTACATGTGCATTTGCCACATTTACAGCATGGTGAAGGTTGATAATGCTTAAGCTCTTCCCAGATACGATTTAATTTAGTAAAATAATCACCAACAGATAGTGAGTCTTGAGTGACTGCATTGAGATCTTGCTCAAGCTGAAAAGTTCTTATGTCACTAGGCTCATCATATCTTATTTTCAATTTTTCATACGCCTCTTTGGCAGTATCACAGTACAATATTGTACTTTTAATTTCTAGAGAAACAGAATTATGAAGTCAAGAAAGGACCAATGTATTACACTTGACCCAGGCCTGTAAATTTGGATCATCACTTGCTGGCATGGCAAGCGTTCCATCAACAAAACCCATTTTGTTTTTCAGTTTAAGATTCATTTCAAAATCTCTATGCCAAGTGTGATAATTCCTTCCATTAAGGAGTGTGGTGACTGCTTCAGAATTACTATTGTCTGTGTGATTAAGATAGTAGGCACTGTACGGGTCATCATGCTCAAGAGAGCTGCCACGCTTGGTGGTTTTAGATGAACTTTCATCCGTAGTTTTACCAGATTCATCCATTTTCAGCACAAAACAAAGCTTAAAGGAAACAGTTTAATATAATATAGAGAATCATGAAAACTGAAAGAAAAGAAGAGTCCCTAGGCAAG